GGGGGGGTACAAGTATTTCTTATTGTTTGTTGATGATTACTCCCGTTTCTCATGGGTTTATTTTATGCGTTCTCGAGATGAGGTTCCTACCTTAACTCGTGCCTTTCATCAAATGGTTCTCACTCAACTTAAAGTTAGAATCAAAATTTTCAGATTTGATAATGCCAAAGAATATTTCACTAAACATCTGGATTCATATCTTCTTAAGTATGGGGTTGTTCATCAAAGTACTTGTCCTCGTACACCTCAGCAAAATGGGGTAGCTGAGAGAAAAAATAGGCATATCCTGGAAGTTGCAAGAAGTATTATGCTGAATTCTTGTGTTCCCATTCGTTTTTGGGGGGATGCTATTACTACAACTGTGTACCTCATCAACTAAATCCCTTCCTGTGTTCTGGATATGAAAACTCCTTTTTCATTATTGTATCCTGAGAAAGATTTGTACACCATCCCTCTTAAAGTTTTTGGGTGCACTTGTTTTTAGGACCCCATCGTTCTAAGTTTGATCTTAAATCTACTAAATGTATATTCCTTGGCTATACACAGAATTAAAAGGGATATTGCTGTTATGATCCTTGTTCTAGTTCTCAGTTTGTATCCATGGATGTTACCTTTTTTGATAATGTCCCTTATTACCCAGGTGTTTCTTCTCAGTGGGAGAATAATGAGAAGGATCGTCCTTGTCCTGGAGTTCCTCTACCTATCCCTATTCTTGAAGGAGAGTTGTATAATGAGGGTGCTTGTCAGAAGTGTAGGGAGTTGAGAGTTTATCACAGGAGGTGGAGGTAGGTTGATTTCGAAGCTCATAATCAATCCAGGCCAGTTCCTCTCTCCTCTGCAGTTTTAGATTCAGGTACTTCTCCCTCCTTGCCTGTTGACACATTACCCTCATCTTCTGATCCTCTACCCCCTCCAGATGATCTTGATCTTCCCATTGCAGTCTGGAAGGGAAAGCGTTGGTGCACTTCATCTACTGCTCATTGCATATCTCAGTTCATCACCTATGATCATCTTTCACCATCCTATAGGTCCTTCTTGGCATCTATATCTGCTATACCTATTCCTTGGTCTCTACAGGAAGCTCTTGCAGTACCTGCGTGGAAGATTGCAATGGAAGAATAGATGGGTGCTTTCATTAAAAATAAGACTTGGGAGCTCATTGACAAGCCATAAGGAAAAAAATCAGTTGGGTGCAGATGGGTGTTCACTGTGAAGCATAATGCAGATGTCTCGGTTGAAAAGTATAAAGCTCGACTGGTGGCAAAGGGGTTTACTCAGACTTATGGCATTGACTACCTAGAAACCTTTGCACCTGTTGCCAAGATGAATACCATTAGAGTTCTACTATCCCTTGCAGCAAATTTCTCCTGGCCTCTGTTCCAACTTGATGTCAAGAATGCTTTCCTTAATGGAGACTGGCAGGAAGAGGTGTATATGGAACTACCTCCTGGTTTTTATGATGTTTCTATAGGGAAGAAAGTTTGCAAATTGCAAAAGGCTTTATATGGTTTAAAGCAATCTCTAAGAGCTTGGTTTGACAGATTTAGATTGGCTCTTGAAAGGTTTGGCTATGTACAGGCCCACTCCGATCATACTCTTTTCATTAAGAGAAATGGTGCTTCTCTCACCCTTCTTGCAGTGTATGTTGATGACATTGTTATGACTGGTTGTGATCATGGTGAGATTGATTCTCTCAAACAATCCCTTCATGCGGAATTTGAAGTGAAAGACCTTGGTGATCTACGCTATTTCTTGGGAATTGAAGTGGCCCGCTCTAGACATGGTATCTTTATTTCACAGAGGAAATATGTCCTTGATCTTCTTGAGGACACTGGGAAACTAGGGGTTAAACCCACAGACACACCCATTGAGCTGAATCATAAGATAAGTGCTGAAGGGGGTGAGCCTCTTGAAGACAAAGCAATGTACCAGCGACTAGTTGGAAAGCTCCTTTATCTATGTCTCACTCACCCTGACATCTCTTATGCTGTTAGTGTGCTCAGCCAATACATGCATTCTCCTAGAACCACTCATCTATTGGCTGTGGAAAGAATCCTTGTTTACTTGAAGAAATGTCTGGGTCGGGGAATACTCTTTAAGAATAATGGTCATATGAAAATCGAGGTGTATACTGATGCTGATTGGGCCAGATGTGTTGATGATAGAAGATCGACTTCAGGATATTATGCTTTTGTCAGAGGTAACCTTGTGTTATGGCGTAGTAAGAAGCAAAATGTTGTTGCCCGTTCAAGTGCTGAGGCAGAATACAGGTCCATGTTGTTATAGCTGAGATCTCTTCTTGAGGAACTAGGGATTGAATATGAGAAACCGTTGAGGTTGTATTGTGATAACCAAGCTGCTATCAATATTGCTCATAATCCCATCCAGCATGACAGAACTAAACATATTGAGGTTGACCGTCATTTCGTTCGCGAGAATGTTGCTTCTCAAGATGTTTGTTTTCCCTATGTCGCCTCTGATATGCAGCATGCTGATCTCTTCACCAAAGCAGTCACCAAAGTCAAATTGGAATCAGACTTGTGCAAGTTGGGAATGATAAATATCTATTCCCAACTTGAGGGGGAGTGCAGTGATACAGTGGACCAGACATGATATTCCTTGTTTATGTGGTCCCATAAGTTCAGTTTTTTTTTATTTCTTATTTCTTGCATTTATGCTTGCTTACTTGTACTATTGTAGATAGCAGGGCATTTTTGTCCTTTTACCTAATGTTATGTTGAACATATAAATAATACTGCCTTGGGCGGCAGTAAGTGATTTTCACCCATCACTCTCTTGCTTTTCCTCTACTCTCTTTTCTCCTTTCTTTCCTGCTCTTCTCTTCTTCTCTTATTCTCTCTTCTTCTTCTTTGATTTCTGTTTTGTTTTGTACCCAGAAGTTCTGCTAACAGCAGTAACTTCAAGTGTTTTGAAGTCTTTGAGGGTTCAATACAGCATTTAGCAATGTTTGTGTTGATTAAACCCTAACAAATAAGAAAATATCAAAATGAAATTAGTATATAAACACACAAGATGGGTATTTTAGTTTAAAAATGTCTATTTTATAATTATAACCTCAAAAAATTTAAGAAATAAGAGTTTGTTATAACACTCTATAGAAAACTGCTTGGCGATTAGGTGAGGCGAGACTCCAAGAGCGCCTTGTCGCCTAGGCGTCGCCTTGACAACTATGTCCACTACCTTGGGCAGTGTGAGAATGACAACCTTGTCAGGGTATAGTTCCCCAAGTGTATTCATTGGTTGTGATGATTTAAGTCCATGTTATGAACTAAGGTGATTTTAGAAGAACAACCCGTTGATGCATGGAATAAATATTCTTTTGTTCATAAACAAAAGTTTGTACAATACATCAGTTGGAGTTGAGAGCATACACATTGTCTAACACTCAGGTCCAATAGATGTTGGTAACTCAATAAAGGCAGAAATACTTTTCAAAAAAAGTTGTACTTCTAGGCATGAGACTAGAAATTTGATACGACTTCAATCTGATTCTTTACTCAAAGATTGCAAGCTGATTTCTCATGGGTTCTTCAATCTGCCAACTCTCTTGTGGACTCTTTAATCTGTGAGAGGGTAAACTGAGTGCTTGAAGTGGGGCACATATCCATTAGATTAAATGTGTAGCCATGTTTAGAGAACTGGTCCAGGCATAGAACCAGAAAAAGGAGAGGTTCACTGGTTAGAGGTTCAACTGACATTTTCTTTAAAATACGTGTGTATTAAAGCAATATATACATTAAAGAGGCATAAATGAATACAAAATAAAGACAGGGATTAATGGTAACAAGACAGTAGATGTAAATAAAAGGTCATGGGTTCAAGTCTTGCCCTTAGAAATTTGAAATTTCCATTCATTTAGTAATCCAGGTGGTTTTATGAAACCGGAACTGATTCATCAGTTATCTAGTTAGACTGGATGGTTATATATTATGTAAGATGACATTGTTTGATAAGGTACTCTTGATCTTGGGTCTAACTGCCCACTCTTTAAGAATCTATACTTTTTTCATGGACTAAGTGCAATTACATAAATGTCCTTAAATGTATGAAAAGACTAAACTACCCTCTATTATTATTCTTTCAAATTACTGCATTGAGTAATACAGATATTGTAAATCTTCCATCAGCTACATCTTATTTGATACCACCCTTGGTCCCACATTACCAATTTACCATGCATCGCTTGAATCCACCCTTTTCTGGTAGCTGTACCTAATTACCAATGTTTTAATTCTATTATTATGAAGCTCTACATCCAAAGATTGCAGTTTAGATTCTTGGGTAGTTGTTGAGTTTGTTGTCATTATTTTGTGATTGGTTTATGAGAAAATGTTGTGTTCGCAGAAGCCAGTATATTCTTATCCTGAATTGCTTTTGTTACTGAGTACTTCACATATCACAGGTGGGGTGGGCCTCTTACACAAAGTTGGTTGGATAAACAACTGGCATTGCAGAAACGGATTTTGTCTCGAATGGTAGAGCTTGGCATGACTCCAGGTATAACTAAGCATTATGTTGGGAATAATTTTATTTTTAAAGGCAAGTTGTAATTATATTGCCATATGTAAAAGTTTGTAGGTTCTGGCAATAATTTTTTTCCTATTCTGTGTAAATCTTATCATTTATGAATTCCATAATAAATTCTTTTCATTAACCAACAGCATGGATTTGGATTTTTCTAATGTTTCCTATGCCCTCACTTCCAGGGATATTATCATGAAAAGTTCTGTGATAATCATCAACACAACTCATAATGTTTCTTGTTACATTGGATGCCATTATCACAAATTTTACTTCCTTAATTATATAGTAGCTTTTATACTGCAAGTATAAAAATATAAATAAAGCAACACAATTTGATTAGGGGTGCTCATCAAAAACCGAAAAACTGAAAAACCAAACCGAACCAAACCGATTTTGGAAAAGCTGAAGCCAAAGGTACTGGTTCCGTTTTGGTTAACCAATATGAAAAACTAGCGGTTAACCAAACTGACCGGTATATATGTTCTATATATTTTTTTATATATTCTATATATTTTTCATATATATTATATATTATATATTATATATATTTATAATATAATATCTTGCATATATTTCTTGTATTTATATTATATTATTATATATTTATTGATAATATATATTTTAAATTCAAAAAACCGAAAAACCAAAGAACTGAACTGGTTGGTTTCGGTTTTCAGTTTTTCAAAAACTGAAAGACCAGTTTGGTTTATAAAAAAGGCCCACAGTTCGGATAACCGAACCATGAGCACCACTAAGTTTGATACTTGTTTCTAGGCGAGAGATATCAGAGATGGAGAAGAGGAGAGGAGGAAGAGAGAAGAGAGAAGAGAGAAGAGAGAAGAGAGAAGAGAGAAGAGAGAAGAGAGAAGAGAGACAAATAAAATGGGTTCAAACTTGTAGCTGGTGGCTCCAGCTATTAGCTTATATATTAGGGCGACCCAACTCATAATGAAAAGAAAAGGGAATTACAAGAGTGCCCCTGCGGCACTAAATAACAGAAAAACATAAATAAAATGCCTCAGAGAAGAGGCTAACTGATTCCAACACCCCCCCTCAAGTTGGGACATAGATATCAATCATGCCCAACTTATTAGATAAATCATTGTGCCGTGGATGATATAATCCCTTGGTAAATATATCTGCAAGTTGATCCGTGGAACTGACATATGGAGTGCACACTTCCTCATTTATAATTTTCTCCCTAATAAAGTGATTGTCAACCTCAGTATGTTTAGTTCTATTGTGGAGCTCTGGTTGGAAGCAATGTTGATAGCAGCTTTGTTATCACAATACAAGGATATGGGGCCATCAACAGGAAATCCCAACTCATTCAACAAGTTCTTTATCCACATAACTTTAGCCACTCCATGGGACATTGCTCTATATTAAGCTTCAGCACTAGACCTTGCCACAACATTTTGTTTCTTGCTTCTCAACGTGACTAAGTTTCCTCCCACAAAGGTGCAATGCCCACTAGTAGACTTACTGTCATCAATTGATCCGGCCCAATCAGCATCTGTATACACCTCAATCTTTAAGTGACCATTCTTTTGGAAAAGTAAACCAGCCCCTAGGAACTTCTTCAGGTACCTGAGAATTCTATCGGCTGCCTTTAAGTGAGTAGTCTTAGGAGCATGCATGAATTGGCTAAGGACACCCACAACATAGGCAATGTCTAGCCGTGTCATAGACAAATATAATAGTCTGCCCACAAGTCTCTAGAATTGTTTCACATCCTTGATAGTCTCACCTTGACAATCACCTAATCTGTGGTTTGGATCAATGGGGGAGTTAGCAGGCTTGACTCTAAGCTTTCTTGTATCCTGTAATAAATTTAGGGTGTATTTTCTTTGAGAAATGAAGATCCCCTTTTTCAAATGGGCCACTTCAATTCCAAGAAAATACTTCAAGGGACCTAGATCCTTCACCTCAAATTGAGTGGCCAGGAACTCCTTTAGTCTCTGAATTTCCACCTTCCAGTCACCTGTGATCACTATGTCATCAACATAAACTATCAAGGCTGCAATTTTCCCTTCTCCCTTTTTCACAAATAATGTATGACCAGTTTGTCACTGTTTATAACCAATCTGCTGTACAGCTAGGTGGAACTTGCTGAACCAAGCTCCCGATGATTGTTTTAGTCCGTGCAAGAACTTCTTTAACTTGCACACCTTTTCTTTTTGATCTTGGGCATAGAAGCCAGGAGGTTGCACCATGTGTACTTCTTCTTCAAGATCACCATTCAAGAAGGCATTTTTAATATCTAACTGGTGGAGATCCCAATCAAGGTTAGCAGTAAGAGAAAAGAGAACTCTGGTAGAATTCATCTTAGCAACTAGAGCAAATGTCTCTGCATAGTCCACTCCATACACCTGAGTAAACTCTTTCGCCACCAACTGATCTTTGTACCTTTCTACTGTACCATCAACCCTATGCTTTACTGTAAAAACCCACTTGCACCCTACCGGTTCCTTTCCCACAGGGAGATCCACTAATTCCCATGTGCCATTTTTATGTATGGCATTCATCTCTTCTTTCATTGCATCTGTCCATTCAGGTCCTGAAAGAGCTTCTGCCACATTTTTGGGGATAGGAATACTGTCAATAGAAGAGAGAAAAGCATGAAAGGAGGATGAGATGTTCTCAGATAAAGTGGGAGATAGGATGTCTGGTGGTACAGGACCTAACTCCCTTCCTTTATGCAATAGGGATGTCATGGTTATTGGCAGAGGAAGAATCAATAGCAATAGGATCAGGAACGTCAACGGGAATAATAGTACTTGGTGGAATGTGATCTGTCCCCGATGAATCTGATGATGTTGGTGGTATAGTTTCAAGTTGCTCAACAGATTTTGAACCCGGATGGTCCTTGCGGCAACGAAGAAAGACATGGAATGGAGGAGGGTCAGGTAGGGGAGGTAGTACTTGAAATTGTTTCTCCTCCACCCTATTCTCCCCCTAAGGAGAAACCGGGAAGAAGAGATCACCCTCAAAGAAAGACACATCCATAGAAACATAGTATTTCCAAGAGACGGGATCGAAACAATGGTAACCTTTTTGAGAAGAAGGATAGCCCAAGAAAACCCAAGGAAGAGCACGAGGGTCAAGTTTACCATGGGTAGGAGACAAGTTTTAAACAAAACAATGACAACCAAATAGACGAATAGGAATAGAAAAAAAGTGAGCTTTGGGGAATAGGAGCTGATGAGGGGCCTTGTACCTTAACACCCGAGATGGCATACGGTTGATGAGATAGGTAGCACATATAACACAACATCCAACCAAAAACGTTTTGGAACACTCGTATGGATGAGTAACCCATGAGCCACTTCAAGTATATGGCGGTTTTTTCTATCTGCAACACCATTTTGTTGAGGAGTTTTGGCACAAGAGCTACAATGGATAGACCCACACAAAGCAAAGAACTTCGTGAGATCACTGTGGAAGTATTCTTTGGCATTGTCAGACTGGAAAATTTGGATCCTTGTCTGAAATTGGGTGAATATCATGTGTTGAAAATCTTTTACAATCTTTGGTACTTCATCTCTAGACCACATGGGGTACACCCATGTATATCTGGAATAGTCATCAATAAAAGTAATGAAATATTTATAACCAAGATCAGATGGTTAAATAATAGGGCCCCAAACATCAGAATAAACAATATGGAAAGGAAAACCGGATTTATTATTTCTTGAAGAAAAATGATTTCTATAATGTTTGCTCAACTGACAAGTTTGACATTTGAACTCAGACACTGACACTGATTTAAATAAATCAGGAAGTAAGACCTTTAACGACTCAAACAATAAATGACCCAAACGACTATGTCACAAGTAAACTTGACTCATACTAGACTGATTCGTAGACTCAATGACCGCAAGACTAGCCTTGTTCTCCAACATGTAGAGACCATCCACCATACAACCTCTACCAATCATCTTCCCCAAGTCCAAATCCTGTAGAACACAAGAAGAAGGGAAAAAGGTCACTGAACAGTTTAAAGAGTTTGTAATGCTACTGATAGAAAACAAATTTATAGGTAATTTTGGAACATGTAATACATTAAAAAGGGTAAGTCCAAAAGGAAAGGTTATGGTTCCTTGACTAGCTATGGTGGAAAAAGAACCATTAGCTAATCTCACTTTGTCCCTACTAGATAAAAGTCGATAGGATTGGAAACAATTTGACTTACCCGTCATATGGTTTGAGGCTCCAAATCCATTTATCCAAGGGGAGTCAGATGAATGGGAAGACCCATGGAAGGCTGTGGTAGGATTACCATTACCTGAAGTAGATGCAAAAGAAGTCGAGGTAAGAGAAGCAGAATCCATCTGGCGGATTGCTCTCCCATACAGATCCAAGTGGTCACGAAAGGAATCAATGGTATCTTCCCGGGGATCGGCAATGGATGGGTGGTCCTGGTGAATAGCAGTAGATGATTGAGACTCCTGAGAGGCCAAGTTTGCTGTATTAAACTTTTTCTGACTCTGCTGTCCCGACTTCTTATTCTGATCTGATTTCTTACTCAACTCTTGGGCCCACTTTGGCTTTCCATGGAGGTCCCAACAAGTATCTCGAGTATGCCTGGCTTTCTGGCAGTGAGTACACCATAACTTATCTTTATCTTCCACTCTCTTCTGGAATTCACCTTTCTTAAAGGAATTATTGCCTCCTACACCCATACTCCCTTTAGCCACTAAGGCAATCTGCTCCCCCTCGGAGCTATTCATCACACTCCGCCTGCTCTCTTCGGATTGAACTAGAGCATACACTTCTTGTATTGAAGGAAGATCTTTACTTCCTAATATCTGAACTCTAAGGGACTCATATACAGGGTTCATCCCCAAGAGGAAGGCAAAGACCCGTTGTTGGGAAACTAGAGGCTTGTAGGCCTTAGCATCAGCATCACACTTCTAGTCAATGTTTTGATAGTGATCTAGTTCTTTCCATATTGAGGTCAAATCTGAATAATAGGCTGAGAGGGTCCTCTCCCCCTACTTACAAGTAGAGGAGGCAGCTTGCAACTGGTATATTTTGGCATAATGACGTTGCTCTGAATAGGCAGATTTTGCCTGCTCCCAAATCTCAACAGCTGTTTCAGCCCACATGTAGGTCTTCCTAACTGGAGGCAACATAGAAAGTAACAGTCATGACATCACCATGCTGTTTTCCTGATCCCACCTATCATTCTCCACCCCCTGGGACTTTGGTCCTTTTGTTTTTACCATTAATATAGCCTACCTTCCCCCTGACTGTTATGTATAATTTGATTCCCCTTGACCATTCTAGGTAGTTAAGACCATCAAAAGGTATCACGGCCATGGGAAAACTCATGTCAAAACCCCCACTCGTTCCACTTTGACTGGAGGACCCACTAGACAGGATAGAATCCTCAGATGACATGTTAAAGGATAGTTCTGTTTAAAAAAAGTTCAGCCACAATCACAGTTCAGCCACTGTTCAATTCCAGTTCAGACCCCAGACCAAGTTCAGCCACTGTTCAATTTCAGTTCATCCAGTTCAGACCCCAGTTCAGTCACAGTTCAATCCCCAATTCAGTTCAGACAGTTCAGTCCCTGGTTCAGCCACAGTTCAGTTCAGTTAAGCCTTAGTCAGGTATATTTTTTTTTGGATCCCACACATCTACTGGAAAAGTTTCCAAGAATTATAATCGACCACTGTTTTATAGTTACAGGTAATTTTGACCTATATCACCCAGCTATTTGGGCACAGAAATGGATCACACAATCCACTAGACTGAGAACAAAAACTCACTTTACTTACAGGTCATTCAGACCTCCATAACTCCCTTACCTGGGTACAGAAATGGACCACACGATCCACAGAAAACAGGTGGAAGAACCTTCACAGAAACAATCTTCCCTCTCTTTTGTTTGTTTCTTGGCACATGACCAAGAGAGAAGGGAAGAAAGGGCGTAGAAAACTTCAGATCAGTCCAATGCACTTCCTTGACAGGTTCGATCCACAGCAAGAAGAAACTGAGAGAAGAGAGAGATCTTGCGGCTTCTAATCTCAGAAAACCCGCTCTGATACCATGTTTCCAGGCGAGAGATCAGAGAAGGAGAAGAGGAGAGGAGAAAGAGAGACAAAGAAAATGGATTCAAACTTGTGGCTGGCAGCTCCAACTATTAGCTTATATATTAGGTTGACCCAACTTATAATAAAAACAAAAGGAAATTACAAGAGTGCCCCTGTGGCACTAAAGAACAGAAAAACATAAATAAAACGCCTCAGAGAAGAGGCTAACTGATTCCAACAATACTCAAGATAGAAAATTTCACATTTTATCTTGGAAATGGCTCAATCTTCCCTGGGTGCCAAAAATGAATTGTACCTATAATGTTCGTGGATACATTCTAAATTTAAGATATTGACTCTATCTCATAAATGTATTAGTACAGACTGCAAGTATGTAATAAACAGATTATATTAAACATTTATCTTACAATCTCATTATTATTGTTTTTGCAAACATTAACAAGTTGAAATGGACAGACTAGGATAAGGAGTTTTAACCTTTGCTTTTAGAAAGAGAGAGCGCAGCCTTTGATTATTTGATGTACCCCTTGCTCTGACAACTCCATATCAGCATACAATTGATCTAAGAAAACTTAGAAGGACCTTTCCTTCACTTTCATCTTTTATTTTATGCCTTATTTCTATTTTACAGGCCATCAGCTACTCATGTTCCATCACGAATGCATAAAGCAACAGCATGCATGTAAAAATAAGAACATATATTATATTATTTTAAATAACTTTGTGGTTGACTAGTTGACCTACTTGATGCTGTCTAGAAAAAATTAATTGTTACAAGTTAAGGGACTAGAAGAGCTAGGGACAGATCGAAAAGGACTTGGGTGGAAGTAATAAGAAATTATTTAAGCGCCAATAATTTAGCAGTGCATATGTCAATGAACAGAACCGAATGACCAAACAGGATTCATGTAGCCAACCCCATATAGTTGGGATAAGGCTTAGATGATGATGATGATGAAGCTTCTTTAGTATATTTTGTGCATTATTTATATCATATTGTGTGCATCTTCTTCTGTTTTATTAGTAAATCTCTCACTTTCTTAAAGGAAAGTTTACAGGGTTTTCATCTATGTTATTGTATCTCACTGCTAAATGCTCAACTTCACACACACACACACACACACACTGTGATTCTTGTAAATTTTTTAACAATTTTGATCTTTCAATTTGTATCATCTTTCCTATTATTTCCTATAGATTTGATACATTTCGATACAATTTTACTGCTATAAAGGGTATGCTTTTCGGTTTCTAGGTAAATGTTATTGGTAAGTGGTTGACATTCTGGTTAACTTTGACTTCACATATTTTTAATTGTTGCAGTACTTCCATCTTTTTCCGGGAATGTTCCAGCAGCTCTGAAAAAGATATTCCCTTCAGCAAATATATCTAGACTCGGGGACTGGTATTTTATTTTTCTTTACTAGTACATAATATGGAAGTGCATTTTAATTTCCTTATTTTTATGATTAGCACTTGCAATTCTACTGATGAAACATAAATGAATGACACAAAAAGAAGGGTCCCTTAGACAAAACAAACCAAACCTTGTGTTTTTCATGATAAATGCAGTAGTGAAAGACTTTTTTTTTCAATGAAAAGAAGATTGAGACAAGGTGATGGAGCTTTGAAGCTTATAAAGGGAAATGGTCATCCACATATTATGGGTTCCAAGGGTAGAAAATGAGTACATGACATGGCAAATGTTCTAGAGAAGGTTCAAAGTGTCGATAAGATACACCCCATATCAGGTGTATCGTATTGTCTATTTGGTTCATCAATACACTTTATATAAATAGTTTGATGATATTAATGTTTTTAGATGAGAATAGATGATATGGCAGGTCCCCCTGTCAATTTGTCAGACGAAGTAATAAAAAATAATAATTTTAATCAATGAAAATTCTTGATATGCAAATTTTGAGTATTGAGAGTATTGATACTTTGAACCACGGTTCTAGCTAAGAGTGGGGTCAACAGGACAGAAATATTCAGAACAGTTGTGAAATGAAATGCTAAGTGTGGGAATGTGCCAATGTGTAGGTCCATCTGAATGCAGTTATAATTATTCTTTTTTCCATATTCGAGAAAATTTTCAGTTAGTGCTATAATGTAAGCTTTAGAAGTCTCTATGCAGTTCTTGGTGTTATATCAGTATGTATTGTGTTCAATATTGGTATGCTTGACACATATGTGTATCTGCATATCATAGTCCATGTCTCCTTAGGAGATAACCTAGCATTAAGTATTTGCAACTGATACCTTGACAGCTACCCTTTTGATGTTTTCGACACCAACTAGATTGAGAAACAATGTTTTGATGGCCAAGCTCTGACTGGAATCTCTTTAGTATGGGTCTCTTATGACTCCCCTAACTTTGTCCTTGCCTCATACCTTGTCTGTTGTTATCTTTTGTATGTTGGTTTATTTTTCTCGTCTTTTTTTGATATTATGGACATTTTGGCATTTTATTTTCTTTTATTTTCATTTTTTCTGTATGAATATAATTTGGTTATTGATTTTCTTATAACTATTAGGAACACTGTCAATGGTGATCCTCGTTGGTGTTGCACATTCCTTCTGGATCCTTCTGATCCACTATTTGTTGAAATCGGGGAGGCTTTTATTAGACAACAAGTAGAAGGTATGTCTCACAATACTATCATTAAAATGTTGTTCTATTGATCATTTATTGAGATCCATAAGAATAGAGGGCTGTACCTGTACTCCCTATCTTGGCCACCGTCACTCCTTGTGGATGAAGACCATCAACAGCACCTGTAAGAAGTAATTTGTTGTGGTTAAAGGGGGCTGGAAGGGCTAGGGGTAGACCAAAAAGAACGTGGGTAGAAGTAATAAGAAATGATTTAAGTGCCAACAATTTAACAATAGATATGGCATTAAACAGAATGGAATGGCAAAACAAGATTCATGTAGCCGACCCCTTATAGTTGGGATAAGGCTTAGATGATGATGATGAAATGTTGTTCTATTGATCATTTATTTAGATCCATAAGATTAGATGGATGTACTCCCTTAGCCACAGTCACTTTGTCTCAAAGGCCACATTATATGTAATGTCCATTAGCCTTGCGTTATGGTAATAGTATATAGAAAAGATGCAGAGTAATATCCAGAAAGTTGGATTTATTTAATTCTAAACTGAAAAAATAGAAGTTTTATTTTTTTATGGCAACTTTGAATAGTTTTATTAGTTGTGGATAAGAATGCCCAACAAGAGCCTAGCACCCCATAGAGATATAGATCAGCCCCTGCTGCCTACCCCTTAGAGCTTATTTTAAATGCATTCAATGAATACATATTAAGGGAATATTTCCTTTTTACAAGTGTTCCCTCTGTTGTCCTTGTTTAGATAGCTCATGTGCTGTGCTATTTGCAGATTATTGGACCCAACTGTAGTGATGGCTAATTCCTAGAATGTGAATTGATAAAGCCTGCATTATGTGGAAATGGCATAATATCTTGATGGACTTAAGTTACCTTAAGTTGGAATACCTTGAATGTTGAATGGATGTGACTGTATTTTCTATAATTATTTTTTGGAGTTGGGGAACTTTTCTTCTCTTTTTCTTTACTTGGTATAGGGAAAATTTGGTTTTATTCCATTTCTTGTGTTACATATTATACATATAACAGATACCTTATAAAGTTTCTTATCCCAAGAAGGGAAAGAAAAAGAAAAGTACAAAAGTAAATAAAATACTCTTTATTTGACTCACTTATTAATCTACAGTTAGTGCATCTTGAATCTGGAGAGATATCCTATGACAATATCAAACCGACACAATGATATAAAGCTATCCAGTTTCTGGAGGCAGCTTCCCTTTGCCATTTGAAGTACACCTGATTATCTTGGTTAGTCTTTTGGACTAAGTTTGTGACTGGTTAGTTTAATGTGACAAAATTTTGTTATCATGGAAAGATCTATAGTAGAGGTAATCAAGAGCTGGGCTGGGCCTGGGCCAGGGCCAGGGTTGCAACCTATATATATATTGTATATGCACATTATATACCTATTCCGGGCTGGGCCAAGCTAGAAATGATAACCTCTAATCTCTATGGTTAGCTTCGTATGTTATCAACTTTGATATGACTTTTCCCATCCTTGTTTTCCTAACATATTGTATGTTTATTGCAGAATATGGGGATGTAACTGACATCTACAACTGGTAATCTGTTACTTCCTTAATTCTTCATTAAGTTCTATCTTGACAGAATATAATGTTTTTAAGAATGTAATTTTCAATCTCATACTAAACCATTTTGCATTTGATCTTTTTTTTTTTTTTTGCTCAGGAACAAGGAAATGTTGGTAATTTTTTATTTTTCTATATATAGAGTATATCCTGATTATAATGCACCTGTGTTTATTGGTGCCCAAATTATAGAGAAAAATCCAGAAATACCTTTCACAAAGACCTACAAGATAAGACCGACTTAAATACCTCAAAATGGTTGTGAAAAACGTTATAACAAAGTTGCCAAATCTTTTAGTGCTTTAAAGAAATTCAAAATCCAAGAGAAGTGAAATTCTACAGGTGTTTGATCAGTTCTGTGATGATTTTCAGATATCCAATTGGCTCCAAAAATCATTAGTAGAGAGGTCAAGCTATAATACCTGGATAGCTATACATGCCTAGAGTAGAAAGGTGCTGAAATAAAGATCTGTAAAAGAAAAGAATATTTCTTGAAGAAGAGAAGAAAGGAGAAAAGGAAGAGAAGAGATTTGAGAGAGAAAAGAGAGCAATAATGCTAGACACCCTCTTCACTATTATTTATAGTCTAAAATAATAAAGAGTACAAAGACCAATATGCCCTTATAGGGTGGCTAACACATAAAACAGCATAAAACAATTAAAATAACTGCTCAAAAAGGACCCAACAAGAGTGTTGTGGTCCCTATTTCCTATCCAAAACAATAAATAGTCAAAAACTACCACTATAGACTACACAATTTGTTTAAAACCTCAACACTCCCCCTCAAGTTGGGAGTAAATGTCACACATTCCCAACTTGCATAGATTATATTCAAACTTGTTCGTTGCAACCCCTTTGGTGAAGACATCAGCCAATTGTAGTTCAGAGGAGACATAAGGCAAGCAAACTTCTCTAGTTGTCACCCTTTCTCTTATGAAGTGCTTATCAACCTCAATGTGTTTAGTCCTGTCATGCTGAATTGGATTGTGGGCAATATTGATTGCAACTTGGTTGTCATAATATAACATCATGGGCTACTCAACTTTTATTCCAATCTCACTCAGTAGGGATTTCTCCCAAAGTAGTTCTGAAACACCATGAGCCATAGATCTATATTCAGCCTCTACACTTGATCTAGCCACAACTGACTATTTTTTACTCTTCCATGAGACCAAGTTTCCTCCCACAAAGGTGCATACCCCTGATGTAGATCTCCTGTCATCTAAGCAACCTGCCCAATCTGCATTTGTGTAGGACTCAAACTTTAAATTTTCATGGTCTGAGAAAAGAATCCCTCTGCCAAGATGCTTCTTCAGGTATGCAAGTATCCTCTCAATGGCTTCCCAGTGCTGAACCCGAGGAGCATGCATAGACTAACTCATAACACTAACAACATAGGAGATGTCTGGATGTGTCATACATAAATATAGTAGCTGGCCTACCATCCTCTGATATCTTCCTACATCCTTAACCAACTCACCATCAAAAGCATTAATTCTATGATTTGGATCAAAAGGAGTATCAACTAGTTTAGTTCCTAGCTTCCCAGTCTCCTATAGTAAATCCAACACATACTTCCTCTAAGAGATGAAAATCCCATACTTGGGTCTTGCAACCTCAATCCCCAGAAAGTATTTCAGTTCACCTAGATCCTTGATCTCAAACTCTTGCTGTAGTGACTTCTTGAGTGCAATCAATACTGACAAGAGTGCCTCTCTCCTTTTTACAAAGAGAGTTTGGCCGGATTGAGTCTATGTGTACCCAAAATGGATAAGTGCTCCTCTGAACCTATCAAACCTTGCCTTAGGTGACTATTTCAAATGATATATAGTGATTTCTTCAGCCTGCAAACTTTTCCCTTACCAACATTCTCATAAAAACTAGCTGGAATGTCCATATATACCTCATCTTGCAGACCACCATTAAGGAAAGCATTTTTAACATCAAGCTGGAATAGAGGCCATGAATAGGTAGCTGGTAGGGACAAGAGAATCTGAACTGAGCTCATCTTAGCAACAGGTGAAAAAGTTTCCAGGTAATCAATACCATAAGCCTGTGTATACCCTTTTGCAACCAACCTTGCCTTGTACCTCTCTATGCTGTCATGAGCCCTGTACTTCACAGTGAACACCTATCTGCATCCGACTATCTCTTTGTCTATAGGAAGATCAACTATTTCCCATGTCTGATTTTTAACCAAGGCTTCCATTTCTTCTTGCATAGTTAGTTTCCACTTAGGTTTGGAGAAAGCTTCACTAGCATTCCTGGGTATAGACACAAAATCCAAGGAAGAAAGGAAAGCATGGTAGGAGGGTGATAAGGCACTATAGGAGAGATGGTGTGAAATGCAATGGGTTGTACACTTTCTCTTCCCTTTGCGGAGTGCAATGGGAAGATCAACATCAGAGGGATTAGCTGCCACAATAGTGTTAGGTACAGAAACATCATTATTAGGGAAAATAGTAGGCTCAGGCTCAAGGGAAATACCTAGAACTATATCAATTGAACTTGGGATATCAGATGGATTGATGGAGAGTGGTGCAAATTCTTCTATCTGAGCATGTGTGGAATCAACCCTCTTCTTGTGGCACTAATAGAATTGTGAGACTGGCCGTAGTGGATCAAGCAGTGGGACTGTAGTTGCTAATGGTGGAATAGGTGGATCAAATGAAGGAACAAATGACACTGGAAGAGGGACAGGTTGTGAGTTCTCCTCCCCAAAGCACTCCCCCTAAGGAGAACCACCCAAGAAAAAGAAAGTAGACTCAAAAAAGGTAACATCCATAGTAACAAACCTATTCCCGGACATTGGATCATAACAAAAATACCCCTTTTGGTTTTGAGCATACCTAAGGAAAACACATTTCTTGGCCTTAGGATCCAATTTCTTGCGATGAGAACCAAGAGTGTGAACAAAGGAGACACACCCAAAAACTTTCAAAGGTATATGAAATATCTCCCCATTTGGAAAAAGCAAGCTGAAAGGTGCCTTAAACTCCAAAGTGCATGAAGGAACACGATTAATCAGATACAAAGCTGTGAGAATTGCATCCCCCCAAAACGAATAGAAACTGAGGCACACACCATAAGGCTCCTTGCCACCTCCACAATATGTCTATTATTCCTCTCTGCTACCCCATTTTGTTGCGGTGTGTATGCGCAACTACTTTGATGAATCACACCATGCTCCAAAAAGTATGAGGACAAGTCCTTATCAAAGTATTCTCTAGCATTATCTGATCTGAAGACTTTAGTCCTCACTCCAAATTGTGTGAGAACCATCTGGTAGAACTGTCGCACCAGAATGGGTACTTCATCATGTGATTTCATCAGATATATCCAAGAATACCGTGTATGATCATTCACAAACAAGAGAAAATAACAATAACCACCCATGGAAGAAATGTGGTAAAGACCCCATACATTAGTATGAACAGTATCAAAAGCAAAGGAACTTATTTTATTACTTGGTTTAAAAGAATGTCTACAATGCTTTCCCAACTGACAGCTTTCACATTCCAAACTAGACAACTGAACAGACTCAAACAACTTTGGAAACAAAAACCTCAATGAAATGAAAGAAAGATGACCCAAACGATTATGCCAGAGCATAATCTGACTCACCGACTCTAATCCACTACTACTACTGCTACTAACATGAGGGCTTTGATGTCTCGGAATCTCAAAGGTATACTCCATTCACCTCACGACCACTCCCAATCGTCCTCTTTGATTCCAGATCTTGCAAAACAAAATTACCAGGAAGAAAGGTCACTGAGCAGTTCAAATTTTTTATCAGAGAGCTTACTGAAAGAAGATTAGTGTGGAGTTTAGGGACATGTAAGACAGAGGATAAAGTAATGTCATTAGTCACTCTAACTGTCCCTTTCCCAACAATGGGAATATGGGAACCATTTGTTGTAGAGACTTTATCTCTACCAGAGCATAACTGGTAAGAACTAAAGAGAGTAGATATATTGGTCATGTTCTCAAATATTCCTGAGTCTATAATCCAGGGAGGTACCTCCTTACTTGAGGTGGATACATGATTTGCAACTACATATGAACTACCTGTATGAGCAAAGGAAGTAGTATTGTTGGCTCCTACATTGTTCTGCCCATTTGAAGAAAGAACTAGAATTGGCTGAATCCTTCTTACTCATAAGCTTTCCATACTTATTCAATTCAATCCTCACTACTGCTGCTGCAATGGACTCCAGATTAGCCTGGAAGAGGGGTCCTGAAGGGTCTCCTGTAATTGCCGAATTTGCATTTCCCTTCTTGTTCTTGATCCAAGCTAGTACGAGATGAGGGTAAAGCTTCCAACAGGTGTCTCTAGTATGTTTAGTCTTCTTGTAATAGTCACACACCAAGTCCTTCTTGTCCTCCTTCCTAGCCTCACTACTCCCCCTGTCTCCATTTGGCTTAGATTTATTTGTACTAACCATAGCTAACTGATCAATCCCGGACTATCTCAACATGACATTCCTCTTGCCTAACAATGTCAAATTCAGGGATAAGTCCAACCAAGAACTCAAAAACCCTATTCATTTCTACCAATCCCTAGGTTGCTATATCCTTCATACTGTCCCAAACCACTATTTCTATTTGCCAAAGAGTTTTTCAGCATGGAGAAATAGGTGGCAAGAGGTCTATCTCCCTGTTTTGTACTAATCACCTGATTCCTTAATTGATAGGCTCTAGCTACATTTTATTTCTAGGAATAGGTTTCAGTCACTCCATCCCAAATCTCCTTTGTAGTATTAGGCCACAAAAAAATTTTTACCAATGTGAGGTAACATAGAGTAACCAGGAGGTCATCACCATGTAATTTTCTTGTACCCACCGGGAGGGATCTGTATTAGGTTTCTTCTCCTCCCAAGTGATGTACCCTAGTTTCCCACGAGTACCAATGGCCGTCTTGGTTGATTGTGCCCATTCTAGATAATTTGTACCACCAAACTTCACTGTA